GATAATTAAAATTCATTTTATAAAATGTATCTGCATTTGAAGATGCAAGAATCATATTTAAATCAATGATACAATTTCCTATATTTATTGAAATGCAAAGTGTAATTTTTTCCTCTCTAGTTATCTATCGATGCCTATTAAAATATCTTTCAAAAATATTCCATTAAATGATTGCAAGAAACTATTTTCTTATCTTACATTCCAGTAAGACTTAACCTTTCTATCATACTAAAATTCATGTTAAATAACTTTTTTTTTTCTTTTTTGCTTCTTAGGCAGTACATATGGAATCTCTTGAGCCGTTATTATAATAATCATAGCCATAATTTGTTTGATTACTTGGCTTTTCAGGTATGTCCTCTCTCTCTCTCTCTCTTTCTCTCTCTCTCTCTCTCTCTCTCTCTCTCTCTCTCGACCGATCGACTTTTTTGTCACTGAAGTCAATATCACGTACACTTGAAACAACGTGTGTAATATGATGTATTTTTTGTTCAGACGTAAAAAATATCGTCAAGAAAACCGTTGTGGTCTGCAGAGAAATAAAGCTCATGAAGCTGGACTTCCGGACAACCCTCTATATCATTGCTTTGAATCACTGGAAAATTCTAATGAAAAGAAATCAAAAGAACAACAAGAAGGTTCCCTACCTTCTGCAAATGAAGAAGATGACGCCATACGGAGACAGAAGAAAACCCAATCTATGTTATACCAAACAGAGTTAAAGAGCAGGGACCAAGCAAAAATTGCCAGTTCATATTTTTAAATGAGTTCAAATGCACTCTTGTTTTCAGGTTGCAATCCAAATGTATAGTTATCTATAAAGTCATCTTAGGGCAAAGTCTCCGAAAAAATTGGTAAAGTTAATATGCTCCAAAGAAGAATGTGTTGCTTGCTATACCCTATGATTTTATTCCTTGCATTTGCCTGCAAAAAATAAATCCACATGGATGTAAAAGCTGATATATCATAAAATGTGACACAAAGAACGATAATTCCTCAACTCTATAAGCTAAAATGATTGATTGATTGATTGATTGATTGATTGTATGTTGTTTAACGTCCCATTCGAGAATTTTTCACTCATATAGAGACGTCACCATATACTGGTGAAGGGCTTCAAATTTTGACCTTTACTCGGCACTCAGGGCAATTGAGCAGTGAGGGATCATTATCGTGCCAACTCCCGCCGTGACATGGGGCCTCGGTTTTTAAGGTCTCATCCGAAGGACCCGCAGCTTTCACTTCAAAGTGCCGAGCGCATGGCGAAGGAACAGTTGCTACCCATTTTTTTTTTATCGACTTAGGTCAGTCGCGGCCGAGATTCGAACCCATGAGCTCCCGATCACGGAGCGAGCGCTCTACCGACTGAGCTACCGTAAACGGTATGAGAGATTTGAAAGATTTGAAAAAAAATGTTGTAATAATCGCTAAATATTCCTGCACATGTTACGAAATATTAACAAATTACATATAATTATATAATAATATATGAGAATATATATATATATATATATATATATATATATATATATATATATATATATATATATATATATATATATATATATATATATATATATGGAACTTTTTAATCATAATGACACAGTTAATTAAATTTAATATACATAGCAAACATTGATTACAAATTTCATTTTTTTACAGATAGATCTCTTTATACCTGCAATCATACTTTGTGATAAAAGGTGTTTGCATAGTGTACAAAATTGGATTTTGCTGTTATTTCATGCTTAATTTTAAAACATTTGGCTAATACATGGAATAAATGCAATTATTAACAGTAAACAAGCGTAATCTTGACTTATAAAAAGCATAATAAAATTAATGGAGAAACATCACACTCTAAGGAAACCATAGCAAGAAAGTCATATGTTTTTGGCACTTTGGCCAAAAAGTGTAACTTACTCTATTTCTGAGTGTATTTTTTTTAAGTATCAAGTATGGAGAAGAAATGTAATTGTTAGCAAATAACAAGCATAATCTCCACTTTTTAAACACATTTGAAAAACTAAGGTTAAACTTTATAAAAAGAGCAATCATAGCTTAAAATTGTATATTTTGGCACTATGCCAAAATAGTTAATTTTTCTAATATTTCATGCTTGTTTTAAAACTTTGGGAAATACATGGAATGAATGTAATAGTAAACAGTATATAAGCAGACTTTTTTAAATGCATGAAACGATTTATTTAGAAACATTGCACATAAGAGAAATCATGGCATGATATCATACAAGTGTATGTTTTTGCACTTAATTTGCGATAAAATGCAATTTTGGCTGCCCAAAGTCAATTCTACTTTAAACTGCACCAGCTCGCGTAGGTTTAAGAAAAATCTGTCTTTGGAAAAAACAACAATTCGGAATTTAAGTATCCGTTCCGGTTTGGTTTTACATTTAGCGACAAAATTTGGCATCCCGTAGTGAAGGAAAATGTGCTGTGAAATCAGGGTCGGTGTGTTACAAGAAGAAACTGGTGATGTAAACAGCATAAAAAAAACATGGATTATTTTATAACTGAGGTTAATGAAAATTTTTATGGTGAGTGTTTTATGTCAGTAGTCAGATAACAGACTCTCAGTTCGTAATATTTTTGCTGAACCATTCACTGTATTGGAGAATAATTGCAAAGGTTTTATTCAGTGTAGAATGCTGAAAACCGAGATTTTACAATATACAGTGAGATATATCACTTTAATTTTAGTTAATACATGTAGTTTCATCTTTAAATATTGCTATAAAAATTAAAAGAAGTAAGTTGATGTGACTGATTATACATGTACTTCAAAGGAATATAAATATTAGATACTGAAGTTTTAGCAGGGAAAAGCTTTGATACAGAAGACGAGGGTTTTCAAGTGAAGAGGAAAGAATGAGAGTGGGGGAGTTGTGGATGTAGGAAAACTTATCTAACAGCTATGGTACATCAAATATTGTATTTTCCTTTTCAAAACCAAATAGTAGACTAAAACAGTGTAAATAATAGAGAAACATAGCATATGTTCAATTTTAATATATTTCAAAAAAAGAATGTAATAAAAATGGGCATCATTTTAATTGTAGATACTGGTCAACTATTTCCACAAGAAGAAGCATTTTCCTATTGTGTTGCGAGCCACTCTCCTGCACATCAAATCTACTTCGTGTGCTAAAAAAAGGTTGCCAACCAATATGTGTACTTAGGAAAAACTTTTTTACTTGTGAATTGCAAAACTGTCTTAGCCTTAGATATCAAATTTATATTCTTATTACTCAACAGCGTTCTTTTTATCTAGTGAATAGGTTAATTAGAATATATAAACATTTGTTGAACATTTTTCTTTGTTCATTTTTTTTTCCTTCCTCCCTCGTAGGTTTTGAATTTTGTACGTGACGTTTAACGTAGAATTAACTTTGGGCAGTATTTGCTATATTCAGGGTGGATTAAAATATTTAGCAGGAGACAAGGAGAAATGCAATTTGTAATACACATGCATACAACGTAATCTTGACTAAAAAAAATTATGAACTTCAAAAAAGATGACACATAAGAGATATCAGAACTCATTATTCTACTCTTCACAGCTAGATGAAAATGAACACACATGATTATTAAATTCAATTTCCCCTAGCACACTGTACATAATGATGACTATCAGACTTGGTAAACAATTGAAATGTTTAACAAAAATGTGTAACAGAATGGAAAAAGCACATGTATTTTCCCTCATTAATATACATGCATTAGTAGTTGCAACATATTATACATGTATATGTAAAGAACTTCTTCTTTCAGATCATTCAAATTCCTGTCAAAAGATGCTGCCAAGAAATATCCAGCATCGCATTTTCTGTCTTTCTGAGAGAGTCTTGAAAAGAAACGTGGTAATTGAGTTGGTGTTAAGGACGACGGACCTAATTCGAAATTTCGCGCCACTGCACAGAAAACCGCGCATATGCCTTGAATCAGATTGACGTAACTATGTATCGCAAAAGATAAAAAGAATATACATTTAAATTCTTTTGAAGAGTTTTAAACGTTTCCTCTCAATTCCAGAATATTGTAAACATTTCGATTTATATTCATTTATTGATTCTATAAATAAATTATTTTTTACGACATTTACCGAAAGCGCATATCAAAAATAGCCTGGAATTAATGTCAACAATAGAAAATTATAATTCTTTGCAATAGATACATCAACGTTTGTTTTAAGATGTGAATTAGATGTATTAATTGTTTGGTCTTGAAATTTGTGAATGAGAAAATCGACATGAAGATTTGCAGTGGAATACATGTACGTTTTACAAATGTTCATGTTGTAACCCCAAATGCATGTATGGTTAAATATATTATATACACAATTTCATGCATATGTTGAGAATGAGAGTTGAAATCTATCTTTTTAATGAGGATGTTATAATAGTAAATCTGTCAGCGACAAAAAAAAAAAATGTTATTCGGTCAAGTTTAGAAATGCTTTTTATATCACACTTTCGTTTTTTTGAGTGGTGGAATGAAATTGTCAGTATTGTTTGTCGTCATTGTATAATCATTACGAATTTTTTGGTCAAATAACAATACAAATTATTAATCTTTACAAAAAAAATAAATTAAAGTAAATAATTTCATGAAACACACACACCAAAAAAAAAAAAAAAAAAAAGAAAGAAAGAAGAAAAAAAAGAAAACATGGAATCAATAACAATATTGCAAGAGTTATCGTTCTTTGAAATCGCGATATTGAGCAAAATAAACACCGTTTTTGTACTTATGTTAAAATTACGGCATATTTTGAATAAAAATTTAACATATTTTACAATAAAATGTATTCAAGAATATAACTAAAGGGGCATTTCGGTAGTTTTCAGGGGCATTTCGGTAATTTCTAGGGGCATTTCGGGAAATCGGGGGCATTTCGGTAATTCGGGTTACCCCCTGGTCCCCTGGCTCATCCTTGCCAAGGTACACGAAGCAAAACAGGGACGGGAAACCAGGCTAGGTGTACAAAAACACATATGTATGATGTTAATAATAATTAAAAAACGACGAGAGAACGGTTTATGTACACTACGGCCAAATTGTACGATCCTCGAGCTCCCATTCTTGGTTCTGTGAGCGGACTCTGAACGGTAACCGTGGCTTGAGACGATGATCATGAAGTTCAAGTTGATGTTTCTGACGAAGACGATAAACTGTGGTACCCGTATTATTTCTGAAGACGTTTTAAGACTCAGGGTATGTCATCGATTTGAAAGAACGATCTTTTCTGAAGAATGTCTAAGATATATTGGCATCTCATTCTGGAGTTTAACTTAATGAACATAAAAAGTTTTTAAGTGCATGTTTGTAAACATGTAAATGAAATAGAAAACACACCAAGAACCAGGAATGCCAGGACCTAAGCTAAAACTTTCTGATTGACCATGTTGACATCAACACTGAACATCAGAGTTAGAAACTCCCTAAAATTACAACTCGCAAATAATTGCGAGTACCAAGAAAGTGAACTCGCAATTTTGTAAGACTACTCGCAATTTTCATATAAAGTTAAATTTATATAAATTAAAATACATGTAACTTAAGGAAAAAGTAACTACTGTGCAATACACAAAATACAACTACAGTGTGATTTTTAGTTAAATTACTGATTTAAATCAAAAGCATTGTATTCTGTCATATTATGTATTTTTGGTACAGTTTCAATGCAAAAAAAATCAACTCGCAAGTTTTTGCGAGTTACCTAATTTTTAACTCGCAATTTGGGAATTCTAACTCGCGTTTTGCGAGTTGTATATAGTGAATTTCGAACCCTGAACATTTGGAACAGGTAACCGTATTTAAATATAGGCCTATATATTTTTTCAATGTTACATTTGATATTATTTATTCATAAATATTAATACAGTTTTATCAATGCAGACAAATCTTATCAATAACTTTGTAAAAAGGATTTTGGATGCAACATAAATTGCATTAAGGACAATTCCTAATTAGGGTAACCTAGTTTATAAGCATACTTGATTCTGATAGAATTTGACCGAGCTGAACTAAGCCAAATAAACCTGGCTACATGCTAATAGAATCAAATAACCCAGCTTATGTTGTGAGCAGTATAAATAGAAATATTGTATTTCTATGGTAAAACATAACTAAGATAGAAAGGACTGCAAATGTACAATAGTTCACTGTCTTCACCAGAGTATCTCCATCAAAAGCTTCTTGTCATAGAATAAACCACTTTCAATACAAATTATCTCCAAGGACACAATGTCGAAGCCGCCTGACATGCCTGAGCCTTTCAATTTTTTTTTTGCTCAGTCAGTCCTCCAGTCTTGATGCGAGTGCAATACCATCTCACAATATACATATATTATTGACTGGGTTCAAAGGAAACGTGTTAAGACGAAGGCAAACAGTTTGGTTTTAGGGGTCAACAAAACATTTTGCCTGAGTAAACAGTTAATAAATATTTTGTTACTATACCTTTTATTTTTTAAAATACATGTATCTTGTGCTGGCTTCCTTAATATAAATTTCCTATACCAGCACTTTGATGAAACTCATGATCGGTCAATTCCGTCACTGTCAAACACAAATGAATGCTAATGAGATTTAGCTGATCCTGTCCATTGTGTTATGTAACCGGTCCAATATCTCATCGGCAGGTCCAATACTAGTATCTCACTCCAAGGTCAAACATTGATTTTTTTAATGACCACTCAGTAAAATATTGGAAATGTTAGACTTTTTAAGTATATAGATTTATATAGGAACTGGTCATTCCCTGTTTTACCAAAGTGCTGAATCATCAGAATCAAGTGTGTTATTATGTGCCATATTATATAAGTGAACCCTTGAATCATTTGTTTTAACTATGATAATTATATTTATCTGAATTATCTCACAAAACTGTTTCCTCCAAAATTATAAGTTGCCTTCATATCTTTTACAGTGCACAAAGCTTTGAAAAAATTAACATGATTAAACAGCTTTAAAAATGTGTATACTTGAATCACACTGATCATGCTAATTGGTCGTTATGATGCTAGCTTGTACATCACAATATTCACATGTATTTTGAATTTCAAATTTAATGATTGATTTTTTTTAACCACAGAAAAAAATCTACAGAGATACATGTACTGAAGAAATACCTGCTGTTGAAAAAAAAAACCCTAGCTAAGACATGTTTGTTTTTATTTACAAACAACATGATCAGGTAAGTTGAGTGTGTTGATACTTTTGAAAAATCACTCTTGTTTAAAAAGGGGATAAATGTGAAATATGTTCTTATTTGCTGTTCCCCTGTTCTTTGTACACTGCACATGCTCATTAATCATATGCTTTATTAGGGTTTGAATATGTATTTTGACTTTGAGTATATTCATGTATTTTTTACTATCTATTTATTCACCTAACTTTGAAATGTATGATTGTACTTAATTTTATATATTGTTTGTATCATGTAAATCCTAATTTGGTTCCCATATTGTGATTATATTTAAACTACAATATTTAATAATATGTTTTATATTTTTTCCCTCAGAAAAAATACATAAAAGTCAACGTTTTGGACAATGAAAAAAATCATCATAACTAGTTACATGTGTAAACTGTATACTTGATAATGATTAAATATTTATTTATCTGAATATCACAATCATTTTTTGTGGATTTCTTTCCAGGTAGAAACAACAATATAACTCAAATTGCTGCATCTATTGGAGCACCCATCTTTAGCAGAAATTTTACTTGAATTTACAGCATTTCCATCGAGGCATCAAAGCATGAATTGATCATTGTAACTTACATGTAACATCCCTTGCAAGACTATTTAACCCTTATGAGAAATCACAAAATGCAGAGAATGACTTGAAATTTAGACCTTTGCTCAACACTAAGGCCCGGTGAGGAGTGAAGGTTCTTTAGCGTGCCAATGCCTGCTCTTACATGGGACCTCAACTTTTACTGTCTCATCCAAGACCTCCAACTTTCACTTTATTGTGCCAAGTGCTAGTGTTGCTGTTTGGGCTGGAACCTTCGACCCAAGAACCAGGAGGGAGCGTTCCATAAAATGGGTGATCACAACACCCATACAGTGAAGATTCTGAATTGTTCAAATCATGACCCCCAGGGGTAGGGTGTGGCCACAATTGGGAACCTCCAAGCATAATTAAGAGATGCAATTACATGTATTTTATAATGGCTCGTTGTGTACTCGTACATAGGAAGAACAATGAAGACGGAAAGGTGTATGTAACAAAAGTAAATGAAAACTTAGCTAAAACAATTTTCGGGAAGAGTGATTTTGTTTTTCAAATACATGAGCATGTCATAATGATTTAAAAAGCGTTAAAAGCTGTTTTTTGTACATCTTCCACAAATGTATTGTTACAGCACCAGAATACATGATTAGCCACTGGGAAAACTATTCATATAAAACAAATTGCATATTGTTGTTGTACATTTACACAGCATGTACATTATTCATTACATTTACAGATGTGGTGAAATATTTAGGTACTCTACATGTAGTTACTTGTACGGTTGGTGTGAACCAGATTTACCACACATGAAAACATTTCTGTTATTTCTCATCAGAAAAAAATAAAACTGTAATAAAATTTTGGTTAAAAAAATTAAAGTTTGTATACCTAACAGGTAAATGAAGTGAAATCATTATAAACAAACACAAAATGTTTTTGTATATTTCAGCACATTTTGATACTGAATGGTACTTTTTCAATACTTCATAGTTACATCTTTTATACCTGTCATCATTTTTTCCTGAAGTGTGAAATACTTTATGAATAAAGTATTATATCTGTGTGTTAACTCCTTTTATTACATTTTCAACAGTGAAATACTGTGATTTATTTATTGAATAAAAGTGATATTCTCTCACAGTGTGAAAGAATATCAAAATGATATTCTCTCACAGTGTGAAAGGATACCAAAATGATATTCTCTCACAGTGTGAAAGGATATCAAATTAAGTAGAAAATAATTTCTAGCCTGCCATAAGATAAAGATAGTAACTAAACATTTTGATAGAGCTAAAACTGCAATTTTCTTCTCAAATATGTTGCTAAAATCCACGCTATGTAATGTTTTCAATCTCACAACTGCTAAGCTATGACGTCTCAACCGCTCAACTATGACGTCAAGTCTAGCTATGACACTGTGTTAAGAAAAGACAGAGGCAAAGGGAAAATCAAAGAAAATGAAATAAACAGAAAATTCAATATTTTGTAGATGAATATGGAATTTATTTCACTCGTGACACAGGATTTTTGATATTTTCACTCGTGCTTCGCACTCGTGAAAATATCAAAAAATCCTGTCCCACTCGTGAAATAAATTCCATATTCATCTACAAAACATTGAATATCCTCTATATATTCTTTACAATGAGAGCAGGCACAGAGTAAAATAACACAGGTGCATAATTGTAAAACAAATTTTTTTAAAGGTTGTAGAGTTTACTACCCATAGCATGCACATCCTGTAAAAAGATACATGAATTCTCAATTGAAATAATATATCTTTGTAAAGATTATGGGTAGGAATTCCCAAATTACAAGCTGATGGATATTTTCTTCACTATTTACATGTATCACTATCAAAAGTCTTGGAATTTGTAGATTATTATTAATTCATAAAGATAAGAAAAGAGGATACTCCTACAATTTAAATATTTATTCTACAGTTTATCATAGTTCATTAACATGATTAAGACATCAGTATTCAATCATAGATTTATATTTTATCTTTTAAGTTGACTATTAAAGCATATTTAGTGGAAAATGAGTCTATAAGAGTAATTAAAAATGATTTTGATTATGAATGCCAAATTTTGCCATATTTCAATTTAAAACTCTTAGTCCAAAAAATACAGAACCCTGTACAAAAAAGACTTAAATAAGCTCTAGTTTATATAGATAGTAAAGACAGTAAAATGTCGGAACAAGACAGAAACCAAAAAGTCCTATCTTGAAACAGTCCCTTAAAATTCACTTGGCCTTTTACCATCTATGCATATGTATAATTTGATAAACACTGTATAATATACATGTACATGTATTTGAGTTTAGTTTGCTCAGAAAACTTTAAACTTCTGAAATGAACAGGCTTGCAGATAATGATTTGTTACATCAGGGACCTATAGGACGCGGATCACGTAAATCATACTTTGAGACCATCCCTAGAGTATTATACGCACATAATTCACGTTTATCATACTTGGACACCATCCTTAGAGTTTTTTTAAATTGGCAAACCACTTTAAATTATTATCATTATTTAGTGTTAAAGTAAATTAAAGAATAAGTACATGAAACATCAGAATTTATTTGGCCAAGGTATTTTCAATGATAATTTTCCCCCAAAATGTGCCCTACACCAGAGTTCGACATGCCCCCCTGAAAAATTAAGGCCGATGACCCATTTATTTTTTGGCATAATTTGCTAGTAAATTGGCTTGTTTACATAATCCTTTAATATGAATAAAAATTCTATTGCAGAATTTTTTTGATGATCACTTTTATACCGTACACTGGCAATTTCCCATTACTTTCTATAGTAATTATTGGTTTCCATCACCAACTTTTGAAACGCTCCCCTTTAAAAATCTACATCGATGACCATATAATTTTTTTATTGATTTTAACTCACCAAAAGTCACTTTACCTCATATCAAAATTTAAATAAAAACTCTATTGCAGAAATGAATTAGGTCCGTCGTCGTTAAGTAATCCTCCATCCCAAAACGCTTTTTTTTCCATTTACAAGTACATAAGCCAAAGTCAGCTGTGTCTGTTTACAACTACATGTACATCTTAGCTAGGTTCTGGGGAGATCAGAATTTTTTAAAAGGTATACACTTAACATGAAGTAATATTCTCCTAAGTTACAAAAAATATTCTTGATCATATTAAACTCAGTCTTCAAATGGCTTTCCCAAAGTAAATCTTATTGTTATATTACTGAATAATTCCTATCTCTCTGATTGGCTGAGATTCAACATGATAGAAAAATAACATGTTATATTCACCTGCACGTTACTTTCCAGGTGAATATAAGGATTTATTTCTCTCATCATTAGACTAAAAATAGATTGGGAAATTCCAATTTGATACAAATAGCTTTGGAAAGTTATTTCATTTGCACTTGACTTCCACTCATAAGAACATAATATTAAGGTACATAGAATCTTGGGTGAGGAATGGGTGTGGGGCTATAGTCAAAGATTTTTTTTCTGGTAAGCTTTCAATTTTCCCCTTATGATGCCACCCCCTCCCCTTTTTTTAAACTGGATCCTATATACGTGCCTGACATTTATTTTTTCTTCATTGTACCTAAAAGAGAATTAAAAATTCCAAATTAATACAATTGGTTATGTTTATTTTAACCCCGTTTCTCTCATTATATTTAGCTAGTACATCGGTAAATGTAAATACGTAAGATAGCAAGGATTGCTTACGAGTTTAATCAATACATCGGGTTCATTGAATATTGTACTCCTCGGGTGTCTAAATCATCGTAATTACCTCAAAACCAGCAATAATTGTATAATATTCACATGGAGTTAAACATTGTAAAACCACACAAAATATCTGAAAGCATGAGAGTTTTAAGAAATGTATGTAAAACGTTAATTCCAATACTGTATAAACTCGAGGCACTGTCAACAAGCTCACAAAATGATACATACCCCCACGCCCTTGCATTTTTTTAAAACAGCCCATAAAGAATTTTCTAGAAGAGACCTTGAACCTGCCAAATGACCTTGGCTTAAAAAAAGACACATATTCTGGTCATAAGTAATCTATTAAAATATGAATATTCAATGTTTTTCATTAGAAAATTATGGATCTGACATAATTTTTTCTACCTTGAGTCAGGCGATAAGACCTTCAAGTACAGTGTATACGCCTCCACTGATTTTCCTTCACAAAACTTAACCCAGACATTTTTGTACAGACAGCTATTCAGACATGCAGATGGATAATATGATTCATACCCCCCCCCCCAAAAAAAAAAACTTCCGACGTTTAGTGCTTTTGGGGGGTAGGGGGTATAATAACAAAAAAAGAAGAGTAAGGAGATATGAAATTTACATTGAACTAAATCTATGATCTTACATTTTCATCATTGTGTATTTGAATTCTTGGTCTGAAAGACAATCAACCACATTCTGTACTCCGTTCCACTGCCTAAAATGAAATAAAATAAGAAGTACAAATTGATAATTCACTGGACTATTATAGACCAATGTCACCGGTTAGAACGGTACATTCGGGGTGGCGGCAATGCGTGACTCGGGGTGGCGGCACCGAGGCGAGGAAAACACCAACACGGTGAATAAACCTGAATTTTTTTCATATGTTTAGACGTGTTAGATCAGAAAATTGTATTCTACGGAAGAGAGCAAATATCAACCTACCTCTGACCGTTTAAAGCAGCCTATAAGAGTGCTCCGTTTTCTCAAACACTCCTCCTCACTTTTCGGGGTATCAACGTTTTCGACTTTTGACACAATATTCTGTTTCAAAATTGACCTCAGAAGGGTTTTTTCCTTATATCTTAAACAGTAATAAAGTAATACGATAGAATTTAACTTCAATCCTACTTTATAAGTCAATATATTTTACTAATTAAGCCAATTTAGGCTTCAAACTCGATGCGACGCTCGGGGTGGCGGTTTCTGTGTCTTGCGGGGTGGCAGCATGTCTGAGAAATAGAGATTACTTTTTCATGCAGCGTTCTCCTGGCCCCCTTTCGAGACAAAAAAGATTCAGATCTCTTAGAAGAATT